TGGCATGGGCCATTCCGCGTGCTTGCAAACCTGCCGGCCCTGCCCCCTCAGGTCCTTCCCTTTTTTGTTCTTTGTAGCTCTTGCCTCAGCAGAAAATGCTTCGGTCCAAATTTTGCATGGATGCACTGTGCCACCACCACGGCTGAAGTGTGCTCACCAGAACCGTGTCCACAATTCGTGTACTGGCGTGTGCTGGTCCGCAGCACTTGCTGCGCAAAAAAAAGTCAACCTGAGAACGGGAACACTGAAAAACTAGTAGACGATGAGAACTCATAGCCAGCCCTCATAATTAGTAGGTTGGAGGCCGTTGCCACGTACCTTTTGGGACCCTTGCAGCCCTTCTAGGGAATGCTGAAGCTGCAAGAAGCGAACATAAATAAAGGTGTCATACCAAAAAGAGGGGTTTATGACCTTACGGCTGCTATAGCGTCATTTGCAACTGAAACTCAAAACGGCTCAAGCGACATTGCCAACATGGCTAGGCCAAGTATAATCTCAAGCCCGTACTGTCAGTGAACAATTTCACAAGTACATCGCGCAGAATGCCGTGGATGCGATCTTCTACGAATTCGGCTTGCATTTGGTGCTACCATGTGCTACCTCAAGATGGCCTTCAAACAGACCGCAAACAGTCTTTCAACGTATTGTCTTTACGGCTGCGTGTCCCAGAAAATGGCGCTCCTTTGCTGGTGCCCTGTTTTCTTCCCCAACGCTGTGACAAAGCGATCGAAAAGGACACCGACCGCCACTCATGCCCTTTTTGTTGAGTCCAGATGCGTTTCAGCCCACTCTCTCTCAGACCATGTAGACGCTACGGCGGAGCAGTGCAAAGAACCGTCTTTGCTGATACCACACCTTGCCTTCTTCGTTGAGGTAACACGCCTGCTTTTGACCGCACCCATGTTTGCGGGGAAGAACCATACACACAATTAGATAGACTGCTGTCCACTTGAATGGTATCCTGGCCACTTTGTGATGCTGATGATACAAATCAACCTCACTTGCATCTTCAAGGCCTTTACAAAGTTGCACTTCGACTGCATTTTGGCAATCCAATTTTTCCGCTCTCCCCACCATCAACTCTACCCGCCAGGAACCCCCGCCACACCCCCTAATACTCACTTCGTTCGCCAATCGAGCACTTCAGCCTAGCCTATCGGCTGGCTTTCGTAATAATTGTTCAGTAGGCAAAGGAAGACTTGCCTATGCATCCATCCTGAATTGATTAGGCGTATAGTTAAATATGCATATACCCAATGCAAGACACAACGGGATAGTATGACCCGAGGCGTCGCAGATTTGAATTGCCAAGGTGCGCTTTCATTCTGCACGCCTGCCAATTGATTCGTTGGAGCTCAAAAGCTGGCCAGCCCGAAAACGCCGTGACACGTGAAAGCGATCAAGCATCTATGCCATGAAAAAGCTCTCGAGTCATACTTTTCTATTAATTAGTGAATAGTTTGAACGGCATTTTTAAATGTTCACATTCGCCTTTCACACGAAACCCACTCCTGCAAACCCGGAGCTGGTTGTGTTCCCGTGTCACTCAGATTGGCCACTGTAGACTTAGATCCACCGAAGATCATGACGTATGCCTGGGCCTATGCAATGCGACCGGAGAGCCTATGGAAGGGAGCCTGGGAAAAAAGAATCCAGCCTTCGGACCTTCTTTAGCAGCCTCGTCGAACTTTCGGCAATCCTCGTATTTGGAAGCTTTGGATTTCTTCTGGCAGATCAGATCATGTGTGAGGTCATGTGACCTGAATAACCACTACAGCATCATGTGCAGTCTCAGTAAAACATGTCAAGCAGTGTTGACACATGACACAAAGCGAAGAAAATAACACCAAAAAGGAACCAAAACGAACAATACATAATTAAAACACTGCAAAAAAAACAACAAATGCAAAAGAAAAACATGTACACATTTTATACGATAAAAAAGCACAATAACAGAAAGATGTTGAAAGGTTCCTTGCTAATCAACCATGTTGTCAGCCGCCCGAGATGTCCTCTTCGGCCTCTTCCACGGATTGACGCGATGGCCCACGACAAGCAATTGTCCGGACGTTGCCAGAGTGGTTAAGAGCCTTGACGCTGGCATAGGAGAGCTTAGAAACAATAGATTTTAGTATTTTTAGGAGTCATTTAATGACATTGGCATACTTACTGAGCAATGATGACCACTGAGTCCCTCGCATCTGCTCCTTCCCTTGCAACAAGGATCTCTGCTTGATAGGTTTTCTCACCTGAGCCAATGCCGAAAGGACCCGATTTCCAAACGTCGGAGCTTTGTTTTGTGAGCGCCACTGCTTATCGACATTGCTGCCATAGTTGCCGGTGTTCAGCAAAGCACCATCCACAATTCGAGCTTTCCCAATTTCGGGAGGCTCCTACATGAACGTAGAATTGTTCCTAACCAAGCACCCTGAAACCAACGGTCACCCACGGTCGCCTACATTGCAGCTTGACACATACCATACATATCCATACATGTTCACAAAAAGGGCTCAAACTGGCTGTCCGCTGGTGCGGGCTTCGCATTGCCCCTCTTTGCTGGCGATTTGGACGACACGCGCCTGACAGGTTGAGGAGTTGCAAAAGAAAACACGATAAACATCAAGACTCCAGGAGTATCCTTGCGCAAACGCACAATTCAAACAAGTTACACGTTTTTGTCAATGTTCCTCCCCTGCTGCATTTACGTTTGAAGCTTGGCGCCACCAGCAAGGTGCCCCCTTGCCTGGGAGGTGAGGCTCTTCTCCTGCGATCGAAATGGACAAAGCTAAGACTGCCTGGGCAAGACAATAGAAAACGAAAGCCTTCAAAGGAGGGTACATGCATATCATGTGGTATGTGAACACTGTGGCACTGTGAGGCAAAAACATAAAGATACGATCTATAAACATACACAAATACATATATACACATCTAAAACGCGTAAATGTATGTTTGCAAATTCCGTCAGCTGCAGCCATGTTTTCCAAGGCTCAGAAACTTGTAATATAACTAATCTAAAGCAGTTGCCAATACCAAACACATTCAAACAGGCTGTATGATTTGATGTCGTTTGACATCGAGACATCAGGTTGACGGAAACAGCCTTGGTGACCACCTCCTTCGCGAATTCGACCGAGGGCGTCTGTCACGTGAGTCCGATCGCCTTCGGGACCTGTCTGGACAAAGCAAAATCAGCAGGAATGACTATATATGCAAATCGTTTCGGTAAGCTAACCGTTCCGGCTACAGAGCCTTAGGCCATACAAAAACGCCAGCCTTCAACTAGTAGCCGCCACGTCCATTCACCAAACAATTGGAAAAACCTGTCTGTCCTCTTAATGAAGAAATGGTTGAGCGTCAGTAATTACGGCCTTCTTTACCAGTTGTTCGTCTTTCTCTGTCTTTCTTATCATCTTTGAACACTTGGTGGACATAGAAGACTTATTATTTCCGTGTTGGAAATCCTTCAGGCCTTGATGGTGACCGCCTTCGGGATCTCGATCTAGACGAGCTCCGCGGCATGGAGCCTGAGCGAAACTTGGCACCAAGAGCCAGTGCCAAAATCGAGACTTGATCGATCAGCCGGGACACGGGCTCAAAACAACCAATTCCTCAAAAACCGAATGCCCAAAGGGCGAGCAAGCACCAGAAGGAAGCCCGAACACCGAATCCCGAATCGATATAGTTTGAGACAGCTACTTACTTATTAAGAACCGCGGGGGGGGGTTTCCGAACAACCAAACCAGCCCAACAAGCCCAACCTTAAAACAAATGCAGCTTGACGCGGCCAGTGTTCTTTTAGAGCGCAAGCCAAGGTTCACGAGCCATAGTATAGGAGGTGGGCAAGCCACCACATTCACCAAAGAAAAAACAAAAACATTCCAAAAAAGGAGCCCCCCCTCCATCCCCCTCCCAAGCCCGAAGACGAAAGCCGATTACCGACCAAAAGCCGAATTTCTTTACTTCGAGTGGTCCCCACCCTACCATGACACTTCAATCTGACACATTTTCTGGCATGTGTTGAACCATTATTCGGCATTCTTTCTGGCATACCTTCTGACACTCTATCCGGCATATCTTCTGACATTCATTCTGGCATATCTTCTGGCACTCTTTCTTGCATATCTTCTAGCATCTCTTCTGACATTCTTTTTGGCATATCTTCTGGCATTCTTTTTGGGCTTCTATCTGGAATATGTTCTGACGTGCTTTCTGGCGTTCTAGAGGTCCGTCCGGAGCTGGCGGTTGAGGTCCGGCGGACACTGCCATCCTGCACTTGCAGTTGAGGTCCTGAGGAGGAGGAGAAGGAGGAGGAGGAGGACGAGGCGGAGGAGGAGAAGGAGGATGTAGCTGACATAAAATCTAACAACCCTCACCTGAGAGGTGGTGAAATCTGACTTCAATTTTGAAGGAAGATCTCTGGAATATCAATGGATGTACCATCAAGAATTGAAGAACAACACAGAACCTTGATTTGCAATGTAGATGAAGAACACCTTCCACGAGGCGTTTCTGGGCATTGCATCTGGCTCTGCCAAGTGGCTGTGAATCGACCGCAGCCGTGGCCGTCTTTGAGCCAAAGCATCTTTGTGAACAGAGAGGACATAACAGAATAACAAAACAATCACAGTAATAACCGTTGCAAAACATTCATAACAGCCATGAGCAAATTGAATTGTCACGTCGAGCACGCTGAACATTGGAGATCTCTGAAAGGTCGGAGTTCAAGTGGGCTTTTTGTTTTGTAACCGTTGATCAACCGTGAGATTGGCATAGATTGGACACTTTCATGGAAAGCCGCAGAATCTGGGGGCACTGCATGTCAACTCTGTCGTCGTATGGCTGCGTACCTGGGGATGCACGTGCCAATGGGGTGAAATTTGGCTTGGTTGAGGGCCGCACAGTGGTAAACCAATTTGCGAGCAGTCCGGATCAGCTACCAAACAGGATTCAAGCATGAGACAAATCTTTCAATACTTTGGCATATTTGCTGCACTTTTGCACCAAGCAAGCAATCCTGTCTGAACAGAAAAGAACGCCAGGCTTTCCAAAAGTGGTGAGCTTCAAGCTCCGGAGGTGGCGCTGACTGCATTCACTGCCCCAAGGACCTTTTCCAACCATTGGTCAACGAAGCTCTCACACAAGTAAGAGCCTAAGTCCGAGCAGCCAAAAACGAGAATTCGAGTACCAAAGCAGCATGCATCGTACATGTGCTCCTTGTGTTTCTCAGCCAAGACGCTATTGGTAGGAAGTGTTGTTCCTGCGATATTGATGCTATGCAAGCAGCCCTTGATGGTGAGCTGCTCAGCACCAGGAAGGTGAGCCCATTCCACCGGCACGAGACCGTCTCCAGTGAGATTTCCCACACCACCCAGGGCCTGGTAGCTGTTCCAAGCAGTGGACTCCGGCGATGGCGACCTGGGATCACCAAAACAAATCGCTTTGGGGTTTGAGAACTCCCTTGAAAGTCCTTTGAACATACAGTATTTGAACTACGTATCGTTTCTTTGCGCGATTTGAGGGGTACAGTAACCAGTAGTGACTAGTCAGCAATACAATATACTGATGTCTAAGACCTCAGCGCCCACCTACTGGTAAGGAGGTATAGCCGGTATAGCAGAATGCGAGAGGCTGGATCAGCTCAACGATAGGTATGTTGCCCTCAATCTTCTGTCCAACCACAGCATCGCCCGCGATCGACACCTCAGAGTTGTTGAGCAAGGATCGACACACAATGGCTGCGTGCTTTGCTTGTGACTGGCTCAGCCGAGTGGCATAAAACATATCATCTGAGAAGTATGCTCCAGGATGGGCTTTGTTCAAGTTGCGGAGGCATCCAAAACTTAGCATCGGCAAATCTCAGCAGTATCCAAGGCAAACTGGCTTGAGACTTGTTCCTCATGTGGGTGAGTTCTCGGGCGTATGGGTCAACAATGGTCAACATGTGATGATGGACTTTCATCCCCTCCAGGCAAGCTGCGTCATATCCATTTGCCCCTCTGGGGGGGGCTTGTGCGGGGTTCCCAATGTCACTAGCCCTTGCACATGCTTCTGCGTCCATTCCTTGGTGTTCAGGCAGTGACACTGGCAAACAACAAAGCTGCATTTCATCAGCAATGTACTTGCTCATCTTGCATTTGCTTTGTCAACGCCCTTGGTTTTGACCCTATTCTGCAAAACCTGTGGCAGGGTACTATGGCCAAGTTTCGCGCCCTTCTCTCTCAAGCACTGCACGCCCAAGCCAGCCTCCAGCACTATGGCCGACCAGAACCGCTGCTTTGCCAGTAGATCTGAAGCTGTCTTCAATTGCTTCTTGTGTGAGATCCAAATACCACTTATACGCACCTTGAGCTGTTCCATTGCCAGCGCGCGCATCATCATCAAGAAGGATCCCCACGAAAACACGCAGCCAGTCACTTCGCTTCACTGGCACTACTGAGGTCAACAAATTCCGCCTTTCTAAACATGCTCTTAGTCCGACTGCTTCATCTTGACCCAGTGGCTCCTCAACACAATGGAGGAAGGTACATATCACGACACATTAGAACGTAGTTGAAGCCAACATTCAAACACTGAATTGTTTCTTGACTTTGATCATAGCCGGTGACCAACATGAACATAACAACGCAACTGGGGCAAGCATCTGAATAGTCTCGGGCATCATTACCGAAGCCAGGGAGTAGCACCACAGGCTGTGGCTCGTTGAAAAGAATAGCAGGCTTGGGTGGTGGTGCGCCATCCAATTGCATTGGCCAATGGTCAACGGCCTCTCTTCGAGGTTGAACAAGTTGGGCCAAGGCTTCTCCTGCATCAATATCCCATTGCTCAAAGTATGTTTGGATGCGCCCGTCTGTTCCTGGTGAATACCTGGTTTGGCCCCCAATGTCAATGCGTGGTGACCAGGGAAGCTGAATATCTCCAACCATTCGCCACTTGGCGAAAACTTCTCCATTGTCAAGCTTGATGTCCCGGAGGATGCATCTCCTCTTTTCCTTTGGAACAAGCGTATCCACAATCGGAGCCAGGCTACGCATGTTGGACTGGAACTTTGAGAGCCCTTGGAAAGATATAGTTGGATCTGTGAATGAGCAGTCCTCATCATACAGCTCAAGATCAATGTCTCCAGACCACAGGTACTGTCTTTCTTCGAAGTCAGCTCTGATGCCTTCTAGCAATTGCTGCGATCCAATTTTATCAAATCTTCTTTGAGGAAGTGGTGGGGCTTCTCCGCCCATCACGCCATTCACAAGGCCGGTCAAGCCTGACAAGGAATTGAATGCCATTTAGGCACTGGCCCTGCATGGCCTAACGGCACCCTGAAAGTGAGGAAGCCCCGCGTCCACCAGAATTGGGCGCCGATCCAGCCCTCTATATAAATTTGAACATGCCATTTAAATCATCCAAGGCTCCATTTACTACGGATTTCGTCCACTCGGGAGAGGAATCATAGCTGGAGCGCTCTTGCCGAGCCTGTCTTTCCAGGCCTGCCGCAAGAGCATGCCCAGAAAACAAGAATCCACACCGGAGACCAAATAGAACAACACTATAGTTCAATTATTTGCACGTTGCACATTTAAACCTCTACAGTAATGATTTCTAATGGTTTCTCCTTCAATGTTGCAGGCTCATGCTTTCGTTCGCCCCACGTCTATTCCTGGGAGCTTCTCAGCGCCTCGTAGACGGAATGGTCTAGACCGAAAAGAATAGCGAGATTCCACCCAAGTAAAACCCATTCTCAAAGTTGCAACAAGCAAACAAAGGATGAAAACTGACCATCCGCGGGCCGCCATGGCTTGCAGCGGCCGAAAACTTGTCAAAAATGTGGGAAGATCCGCAGTCTTGTCAGAGTTTATGTCAAACTTTCTTGCATTCATTCTCTGTGGTCTGTGGTCTGATGCGCAGCACCACTAAAGTCTGAGCATACATGGAATTTACAGCCTTACATTGAGCCACGGTGGGTGGCGATGGCGGCACGGCACACACGACAAAAAGGCCGTGAAATTGAAGTTTAGTCTTCGCTCACCTCTGCTGTTGCAGTGTCACTACCTTGTTTGTATACTGTGACAGTGCATATGCAAAGGGGCGATTTCAGCGCAACAAGTCACTTGGGCACTATTAAATGCCACACTCACTCTATATAAGATTGTTGTGGAGCCGAGACACCTCAGGTAAAATGCAATACAATGCAATATAATGCCCCTACTGTATGGCATGCTCTGGTCATCGCCCTACTCGTCCACCAAGAAGAACAGAATCGCATGAATGGCTAAACAACCAGTATCTCAGCACCTTCAAATAGTTGCCCGAAGCTTTCCATTTGCATTGCGTCGATTTCTGTGGTTGTGCGTCTTCCAATGTCACTTCATCCGTGACACTATTTGAGTAGTTTCAACAATGAAGTGGAGGGCTTCACCGGTCTCAAGAATCGGTCATGTCCAGCGGTGCTCCGCGGTGCTCGGGCCCTGCTCGGGCATCCCACTGCAAGACATGAGAGCATAGTTATCCATAGTTCATAGCGGATTTATGTGGCAAACCAGTGCCCAAATTCTGATGCGTTGTCCTACGGCAAAGTGTTCTCTGATGATAAGGCCTGGGCTAAGCATATCTTGAGAACTGTGGGTGCTTCTGACTTCGGGCGCCATGTAGAAGGCCTGCATTTCAGCGATGGAGCTGCCCAACGCCGGTGCCAAAGCCCGAGGCCACGACAGTACCAACCTCGTCAAGTTTCCGGACCGTGGATGAAGCGAAAAACAAGTGGATCACACCGCATTAAGACATGAACATAATGAAAGCACAATGCAAGTGTCACGACAACCTCAATGCTCGGTAAAATGACACACTTCGAACTTCGAACTTGGGTTTTCAGTTAGACTCAATTGCCACGTTGGGAAGGAAGGTGAGGGAACGGAAAGGCGCATAAGTCCGCAAAAACCGTATGGTTGAACATTGTTTCCGAGTGGCCTCAAGATCGATCTGTACAGTCGATGCGGTGACGAGCACAGCTGAGAAACGCGGTGGGAAACCTGTTTATGGGAGGAAACATGCAACCACCATGAATCAAAAAAGCGGATT